CCCACTTAGTTTTAGAAGGTGAGCTGCTGTCTTGCTTCCCTGATAAAGCCTGTCCTGCACATCACCCTAAATTACACACACCCACGTCCGTCCTCTGGGTCTTTTTCAGTCTGAGAGAGGGAAGTATGCCTTCTGTTCTTCAAGGTCAGCCTCTCTACCTGTGAGTCTCACCTGTTCCCTGACATTTTTCCTGGGTCTCTCTTCAGCCTACATCCCCACTTACTGGTCTCTCTCTCCAAGCTCTTGTTTTTTCTTTCTAATGTTCCTAGATCCCTCCTCTCTCTCTCTCTCTCTCTCTCTCTCAAGTCTCTCCAATTCAAACAAAATAAGCACATCAAGCATGTCTCATGTGATCCTGAATATTACTTTAGTTACTTTAGTATTTTTCTGTCATTCTCATCTAATCGTGTTTTAAAGTTTATATCTCTATTGCTTCTCCCTTCAGTCATTTAATATCTACCAACAGCATCTTAATTATCCTATTGAAATATTAAAGGTGTTCTGGCCTATTGAAATTATTCTGGCAGTCACCAGTGACCTGCTTATTTTCACATCTGGTGTATATTTTTCAGTCTTGCCCTAATAGTGGATTCTTTCATTGGTACTGTTACTCAGTCCTTCTTTGAAATCCTCTACTCTCTTGGCTTCCATGACACCAAGTTTTTCTGCTTCTTTTAAAATTGCTGTGAGTGTAGTGTTTTCAGTATTGCTGTTTGTAATTAGCCTGTAGCATTGTTTTCCATTTCATTTTATGTCCAAAATTTCTCGGGGAAAGTGTTTTCAGTTTCAAAAGAATAGGTCTTTGTTTACTCATCTTTCTGCCCTTTTTGTTGTTGATATCTAGTTTTATTACACTGGGGCCAGAAAACAGTCCATATATTTTGAAATACACTGAGATTTTCTTTGTAGTCAGACCTTGATCATGTTTTTGTCAGTGTTTGATGGACATTTGCAAGAAGTATTCTCTTCTTTGTATCTTTATATGTATATGCAGATTATAGTAGATCAGATATATATGGTGGCTATTCTTCATCATACTTTTCAGGTAGTTTCTATCACTGCTTACTTTTTGTTTCTTTGATTTGTCCATTTATGAGTTTCATTAAAGTCTCCTGTTCCATTTACGTCAGCTGGTTTTTTTTTTTTTTTGCATGCATTTCAGTCATTGCTCTGTCAGCTGATGCATGAATTGCATTACAGTTACATCTCCCTGGGGGATTGCATCTTTTCTTTGTGTTGATATAAACCAACCCTGTTGTAAGTTTTCCTCCTATACTCCGACATTTCCTCTTTTGTCTCCTTCGGGAGATGTTCCAGAAGGTTCTGCCCTCACCCTTTGCTTTCCTGTGTTACCCATGTGCCCTGAGATGCCATCTCTGTCTCAACTGTCTCACGCACACATGCAGTAATATTCAAGTTTAATCCCACATGCAGACATTTATCCAGTGTTCTGACTACTCCAATCAGCTTCCTGATGGGCTGCTCTACCTGGATGTACCAGGGCTCCCCAGACAGAATTTTCTCATCACTTTTGTCCATAAACTATCTCCTCTAGAGGGAGTCTCTGGCTCATTTCATGGCCTCACCTCTTACCCAGCCACCCAAAGGAAAATCTTGAGAGTTGGCAAACTTAGGTCTCTTGTTTTTCTGGGGTCTGAGAAATCTGTATGCAAAGCAGCAGTTAGAACTGGACATGGACCAACAGACTGGGTCCAAATCTGGAAGGAGTACGTCAAGGCTGTATATTGTCACCCTGCTTATTTAACTTATATTCAGTGTGCATCATGAAAAATGCTGGACTGGATGAAACACAAGCTGGAATCAAGATTGCTGGTAGAAATATCAATAACCTCACATATGCAGATGACACCACACTTATGGCAGAAAGTGAGGAAGAACTAAAGAGCCTCTTGATGAAAATGAAAGAGGACAGTGAAAAAGTTGCCTTAAAACTCAACTCAGAAAACTAAGATCATGGCATCTTGTTCCATCACTTCATGGCAAATAGATGGGGAAACAGTGGAAACAGTGACAGACTTCATTTTTTTGGGCTCCAAAATCACTGCAGATGGTAACTGCAGCCATGAAATTAAAAGACGCTTGCTCCTTGGAAGAAAAGTTATGACCAACCTAGACAGCATATTAAAAGGCAGAGACATTACTTTGCCAACAAAGGTCCATCTAGTCAAAGCTTTGGTTTTTCCAGTAGTCATGTATGGATGTGAGAGTTGGACTATAAAGAAAGCTGAGCACAGAAGAATTGATGCTTTTGAACTGTGGTGTTGGGGAAGACTCTTGAGAGTCCCTTGGCCTGCAAGGAGATCCAACCATTCTAAAGGAAATCAGTCCTGAATATTCACTGGAAGGACTGATACTGAAGCTTAAACTCCAATACTTTGGCCATCTGATGTGAAGAACTGACTCATTGCAAAAGACCCTGATTCTGGGAATGAATGAAGGCAGGAGGAGAAGGGGATGACAGAGGATGAGGTGGTGGGATGGCATCACTGACTCAATGGACATGAGTTTGAGTAAGCTCCAGGAGTTGGTAATGGACAGGGAAGCCTGGCCTGCTGCAGTGCATTGGGGCGCAAAGAGTCAGATGTAACTGAGCAACTGAACTGAACTGAAGAAAAAAATGAGTCTGTAGGCAATTGTGATTCATGGTTTAGGGAGAAGCTCCTATCTGATTTTTCACAGTTGTCTAAATAAAAGAGGTATAATCACCCCCCCCCCCCCAGGTCATGGTCTAGTGCTCTTCTTCCAGAAAATTCCAATCTAAGCATTTGGGTGAAGAGGGTCTGACTGAAGACAACAAGATACGTGTGTGTGTGTGTGTATTAGTCATTCAATCCTGTCTGACTCTGCGACCTCATGGACTGTAGCCCACCAGGTTCCTCTGTCCATGGGATTTCCCAGACAAGAATACTGCAGTGGGTTGCCATTCCCTTCTCCAGGGGATCTTCCCAACCCAGGAATCAAACCCAGGCCCGGGTCTCTTGCATTACAGGAGGATTCTTTACTGTCTGAGCCACTGGGAAGCCCAGACCCCAGGATGTGGCATCCTAAATTCTGGACCCAAATTAATAGCTAAGGTATCTTGGACAGTTGGCTTCTGAGGACCTCAGTTCCTTTATCTCAGATTTATTGTGAGAATTAAATACATTAACATAGATGGAGACAATTTTTTTTCTTGAGCTTATAAGAAAAATTGTTTTGATATTCTCATTATCTGGTTTCAATGATTTTGAAAGTTAACAAACATCAAAAGAAGACTGATATGCCTAATACTCAAATGTCATATTAGATTGTCTTTTTTTTTTATGTATTCTTAATACCAGGGAGCAATGGCCTCTCGTTTCCTTAAGATAATGTCTACTTTACTTTGAGATATGTAGTCTACCCTAATTTTTCTTTTTCTCTGATAAGTCTCCCACATTCATTTAACCTTTTTCCTGAGTTCCCTCTCTCCACCCCTTTAATCATTTTCATTGCTCTGTCTTGGACCCTCTCCAAGTTCTCTGTACCTTTTGGAAAATTAGAATTCCCAAACTGAGCATGACACCCTAATAAGGGCCAACTTGATGCCAAATATAGCTCATGACACTCTTCCTTGTCACTTGAGTGACAGACGACACCGTTAAGACTTCTCAGCAGCTTAACAATTTAAAAGGCACACACCTACCTTGCAGACCCCAGGATCAGACTCTAGGGTGTGATCGGCATGCACTGGTGGCAGGAACTTAATGCTGTTATTGATCCCCTTGGAGAATGAGGAGATGTGCCCAGAATTTCTAGAGGATGCGGCCTGAAGTGTCTCATGCCAGAATCCAGGGAAGTCAGCACACACTTGGGATTTGGAAGAAAAGCTTGGTGCTTGAACTTAGATTTTTTTTTTTTAAAGAAAATAACAACAGAGCCAGTTCTTTTACCATTTAGACCTCAGCCATTTTGTGGTCATCTTAATATAGCTGCGGTGATTCTGGTTATTCAGCCTGCACGACTACTCCCATCTTCTTCTTCCACAGAAAGCATGTAACTTTCTTTGTTTGAGAGCAGAGGCTTCCCACAGGGACTAGTGAGGAATAGAATCTGGAGCAGAAGGCAGATCAGTGCTGGTAAGAGATCTGACAGGTGTCCTGAAAAGTCTGAAATAGTAGAGGTTCATTCTTTCCTGGGACATCGCATGGACAGGGGAGCCTGGCATGCTACAGTCCTTGGGGTCACAAAGAGTCGGACATGACTGAGCATGCGCGCACACACACACACACACACACACACCCAAGAGAATACCATGATTCAGTGAGCTTCAGACAAATGATGTAGAGAGGAAATGAATTTGGGAGTGAGAATGGTGGAGGGTCTTGCTTCAGAAATTTTTAGCAGGGTTAGATGGGAGGCTTCCTAGGTGGTGCTAGTGGTGAAGAACCCTCCTACCACTACAGGAGACATAAGAGACATGGGTTCGATCCCTGGGTGGGGAAGATCTCCTGGAGGAGGGCATGGCAACCGACTCCTGTATTCTTGCCTGGAGAATCCCATGGACAGAGGTGTCTGGGGGGCTACAGTCCATGGGATCACAGAGAGTTGGACATGACTGAAGTGACTTAGCACACACACACACCTAGAAGTTTAGGGACATTGTCATGGAGTCAGCAAGTGATGGCTTGTGGAGGTGAGTGGGTCAGGCAGTCAGCAGATCAGCTCATGTTTCAGTCTTGCTCCTCACCCTGAGGGGCAGCTCTGTGGGCGTGCATGTCACAGCAAGGGTGGTGCAGACTCATGGGCTTGCAGCTGGCACATGGAACTAAGGAAGTTGATGGAAGGATCGCCCAGCACTAGACCCCAGGGCAAAGGGGGCAAAAAGTGAGTTCACCTCACTCGGTAGTACTGCTGAGTAGCAGCAGTAGTAATAGGGGTACTGCTCTACCCCTCCCCCGTCACCCCGGCTTGTGGCAGGAACCCAAGCCTCGCCTCTTCCCTCCTCTGGCCTGACCCAGGCAAGCTTGTGCGAAACCGGTTCCGTACTCCGGGTGCGGAGTGATGGAGGGGGATGTTTGGCTGGAACCAGAAGAGGACAGGTGGCAGCGTCAGCTACAGACGACGTCCTTCCAGCTGGCTCTGGAGCCGCCACGCTTGGTCTTTTTGCAGTTTGGTGGGCTTGGCTGGGAGGTGGTCGATGAGGAGGGAATCTGGAGGGGCTCAGATGTGTCAGTAAATCACGGCGACTCTCGCCCAGTGTGGCAGGTGCGCTGGCATTGGAGACGGCCGTGCGGAGACCTGGCTGAATTCCTGCTGCTCCTGGAGCCCCGTGGGGGCCTCTTCCTACTGCAGATGCCTGAGATTGTCCTCTGTTCATCAGGGGAGCTTGAGTGTGTGTCATCTTCAAAAGCTGAAGTTCCTTGGGGCCAGGATTCCTGGAGAGGGACCCTCCAGCCGCCCACCCTTCCTTTTTTTGCTGTTTCCTTGGTGGAGGGTCTATGGCCTGTTGATTCATTCTCAGAACCTGTCCATCCAGCAGCAACCTCTGGATCTTCATGAAGTTCATCCCCAGCAAACCAGAAAGATTGTGGTGTGTCATCTGAAACTGTCTCCATTGGTGTTTGAAGGTGACAGAGTAGTCCCTTGCGAGCCCCTTGGTGTCCACAAGCCCATGGCAAGATTCTCCAGCAGGGCCACAGCGCCTGGGATGGCCTGCTGTGGACCCTTTCTCTGAAGCTGTTTCTTTATAGCTCGTGGAAGGGATGCTCTGCTCAGAAACATCAGGCGGGAAAAGCTGGTGCAGGCGTTGTGGCCACCTCTGGAGGGCAAGGGGGTGTCAGTGTTGGCAGAACTGACCATGCACCCTTGGCGGCTCTTCTGACCATGCTCAGCTGTTTGTTCAACTCCTAGAGTCTGTGCCCAGCTCTGCACGATGGCCACGGGCTGCTCCTGCTCAGAACCTGGAGACGCCGTCTTTCTTGTTCTCAGCTGCCTTCCTGCCCCCCACCCCCCCAATCTATGGATTCACAGAGCATGAGCCATCCCCTTCTCAAGGAGCTGACCACATCCATCATATGTCCATGTGCAGCAGACACTAGGCCATATCCTTGGCATAAGTTGTCTTTGATTGTCAGGGCATCCCTGTTTCTGTAGTAACTTGAGCAGGGAGGGAGGTATAGGGTGGGGATAATCATATCCCTAGGGGTCGGGATTATTCTGTGGGGTTAGGAGGGCAAAGAATTAGCAAGGATGCCCCTGGGGCCTGACCTGAATGGGAACCATCAGCTGAGTGGTGTGTGGTCTCTGGGCTTTAGAGGGAGATGCCTTCTGGCCGGAGCTGGAATCCTGGCTCCTGCTTTCTGGATTCTGTTTTCCCAGCTAATTGGACACTTGTTTACAGTGTCTCCCCAATCCCAGAACCAGGCAACGGAGAGGTCTGCAGTGTCCATGGGAGGGGGATAAAGCAAAACAAAGCCTAGAGCAGAGCAGTGCTATTAATTCAGATTAATGAGCCTCACCTTCAAATGAAGCTGGTGCCTGACAGATCGCTGGCTCTGGGAGGGCAGCAGAGGGGAACAGACCGGAGCTCTGCCTGCTGGTGGGTGGTGGATGCCACCTGCCCGTCCTGCTCCCCACAGTGCACCTTCCAGGTGCTTCCTGTCTCCTGCAGAGTCCCCTCGGCACTCCCCTGATGCCTGGAGGCCTGCCGATCCACAGGGTGGCCCAGGGGTCTCTCATGCAAAGGAGGGGCCCACCGTCCGCCCTATTGTAACATGATGCAGGGTCGTACCAGTGGGGGTGCTGGGAGCCCTTTCCCAGGGTTGATGAAATGGGTGTGATTTCTGGGCAGCACAGGGGGGTGCGTGGTTGCCCAAAGGTGCATTTCTGTGATCTGTCTCCACCAGCAAAAGGGTGTGTGTGATTATACGGCCTCTTCTTCATGCCTTCAGCTGCTCAGGCCGTACTGATACAAAAGGAGTAAGGCAGGGCTCTTGAGAGACGACTTGCTCTTCACAAAACCCCCTTGAAGTAGGTGAGTTTAATTTTACTTTGAGACTGGTGGCTCCGGGAAGTAAAGCAGTTCTCCAGAGGTCACTCGGCAAGTAGGTGGTGAAGATGGGATCCAAGTCCCCTCACTGCAGAGACGGATTTTGATTTTACATCCACGACTGGCCTGTGCTTTCCCCTGTGTACTCCTTCACATGAAGGTAGATTACTAAAATAGCCATGTTTCAGCAGGATCACAGAACCTTGGAACTGGCACAGCATCACCTAATTGAGATGCTGACTCAGGGCTCCTGTGTGTCTGCGAGGGCAGGGGCATTGGGAGGTCAGACGACCCCTCCTCGGCTCACTCTCTTTCCTGGGAAAGATGGGCAGGGGAGAAGGTTGAGGTGTGTGCGTGTTCACTCATGCAGCTTCATGCATGGACACGGATACTGTTTCTGTTGCACACTCGTCTCACCCCACCCCCCACCGCCTATCTTGTCAGTCAGAGCTGTATTAGATCCTGCAACACGTGCCTGCACACCTGAGCCTGTGTCTTCTGTCTGCAAAATACGCTTTCTGTCAGGAATGAAAGGCAATCCAGGGGATCCCCGCCCCCATTCTTGACCCAGCCTGCTAGGATTAGTTTTTGCAGTAAATCCGAACTCCTGATTTTCTAGACTGCGGCCTCGGTGGTGAGAGGCATTGCTATTTAAATAACACACTTTCTCTTCTGTGGAGAAGGAATCTCATTCCGACCAGCTTCTCCATACATCTGACTGCAAACACAAGGCCCTGGGAAGCGAGTAGGTCTTGGATTTGTCCCGTGTTTGCTAATTGCCTGAGACCTTTCTCTTTAAACAAGTGCTTCTTTCTTTGTATCCTTTCCACAAACACAGCTTTAAAGAAAGTTTATAATTTTAGGGGAAAGCAAATAGCTCCGAGTTGAGCCACTGTAGATAGTGGAGAAACCTGGATGCCGGGCGCCGCAGTCCCTGCTTTGGGAGCTGCACCCAGACACTCCTCTTTGTTACGTTGTTCCTCCATGCATTCATCCATTCACTCACTCACGCATTCATTCATTCAGCAAATCCATATTGAACCACTTCTACATGCAGGTGATATACTACTCGCTGGAAATGTAGAGGAAAAAGAATTTCTAAAGTGATCTCTCAAGGACCTCATGGTCTAGTGAGGGACAAAGGCCGTGATAAAGATTATAATGTGGAGAAGAAATCACATCACATACACATTATATGTATGATGTATATATCCTTTAGATCATATCATATATACATCATATACACATAAACAACCAGGACTTATGACCTCCCAGGGAGGAGAAAGGAGTTTCAGGAAGCTTCCTGAAATCGGTCAAGTTTGGGTTAAGACTTGAGGAGCAGGAATTAGCAAAATGGCAAAGTGATGGTGGTTTCAATTTGCGAGGGCATTCTCAGATGTTCATAAAAGAGAGTGGTATGTTGTAAATAGTTCTGTTTGATTTCCTGGGGTCTCTGTGGCAGAGGGGAGTGCTGAGAGGGTCCACTGGAGAGAGAAATGCCTAGAATGCCTACCCTAGGAGGAGGTTAAAAATTACCCAAAAGCACTGAAGTGCGATGGAAGGGCTCTAAGCAGTCGACCTTAATGTGGTTACATTTTAGAAAAATTCTGGAGATTTCCCTGGAAAAGGGCAAGACACATTGTGTTTGATGAGTAGTGGCTGAGCAGGTGGGGAAGAGGAAGCCAATTCCAGATGTGTTAAGCAAGCAGAGTTGATGAAACTGGAAGGGAGGTTGTGTGCAGGGTAGTGTGAGGGGAGCAGGAGTGATTCCCAGGCCTCTGGAGTGGAGGACTCGGGATAGTAAGAGTCTGGGAGAGGGGGGCCATGGCTGTTTCTTGGAGCTCTGGAATCTGAGGGACCTGGGCGTCATCAAGTGGACATGCCAGGAACCAGTTGTTTGTGTTGATCTGGAGCTCAGAAGAGAGGTGCTCCAGAGCATTAGACTTGGAAAACACGGGCAGCTGGAAGACCCAGAGCTGCTGAGCTGTTTCAGGGGAGCAGAGAGCACGAGAGTGGGGAGATCCTGGGGGTTGTGGGTGTGCAGGGGACAGACACATTGATCTCTGGAACCTGGCTACCAGAGAGCTGGGGGACAAGGTCAGGGAAGTCAGGGAGGACAGAATTTTGAAGATGGAGTTGCCCTGGTCACATGCTGCACAACATAGCTCAGCATCTCCACTGAATTTAACAACTGCAGACCCACGGGTGGCGATATGGAGAAGATGCTTCCAGGAAGTGAGGCTGTGAGGGTGAGGACACGGACTGCCCCCCACCACATGGGGTGGGCTCTGCATTGGCTCCGTCAAGTCTTGAGTAAGGAAATGCTGGTAAAAACCTTGTATCATGAACCGGTCAGGCAGTAGGATGACTGGCTTGAGAAGATCAAAAGAAAATGTCAGGTTTCCTGATTTACACACCAGGGAGAGCTTCTGACTGTGAAACCTGCTTCTTGTGGTACTGTGGTTAGGAGTGCGGGCTCTGGACTCTGGAGTCCAGTTCCTGGGCTTAGGTTCTGGTTCTGTCACTTACTAACTGTGTGAGCTATGGAGAGTTTCTTAGCCTTTCTGTGCTTTTGTGTTTTGGCTTATAAATACACAGTCGTGATAGAGTTGTCGTTGTAAGATTGCTGTAACAGCGACATATCCATACATTTAAAACACTTTACACAGTTTCTGACACATGACTATCATTGGGTAAATGTTAGCTATCTTAAAACAACCTAGGCAGCATATTAAAAAGCAGAGACATTACTTTGTCAACAAAGATCTGTCTAGTCAAGGCTATGGTTTCTCCAGTAGTCGTGTATAGGATGTAAGAGTTGGACTATGAAGAAAACTGAGTGCAGAAGAATTGATGCTTTTGAACTGTGGTGTTGGAGAAGACTCTTGGGAGTCCCTTGGATTGCAAAGAGATCCAACCAGTCCATCCTAAAGGAGATCAGTCCTGGGTGTTCATTGGAAGGACTGATGCTGAAGCTGAAACTCCAATACTTTGGCCACCTGATACAAAGAGCTGACTCATTTGAAAAGACCCTGATGCTGGGAAAGATTGAGGGCAGGAGGAGAAGGGGACGACAGAGGATGAGATGGTTGGATGGCATCACTGAATCGATGGACATGAGTTTGGGTAAACTCTGGGAGTTGGTGATGGACAGGGAGGCCTGGTGTGCTGCGGTTCATGGGGTTGCAAACAGTTGGACACGGCTGAGCGACTGAACTGATCAACATTTTGTATCTATATAGTGCTTGTGATCGGAGAAGGCAATGGCACCCCACTCCAGTACTCTTGCCTGGAAAATCCCATGGATGGAGGAGCCTGGTAGGCTGCAGTCCATGAGGTCACTAAGAGTCAGACATGACTGAGCAACTTCAATTTCACTTTTCACTTTCATGCACTGGAAAAGAAAATGGCAACCCACTCCAGTGTTCTTACCTGGAGAATCCCAGGGACGGGGGAGCCTGGTGCGCTGCCGTCTATGGGGTTGCACAGAGTCGGACACGACTGAAGTGACTTAGCAGCAGCAGTGCTTGTGATCACATGTGATGTTTAAATCTTCTGCACACATTTATTCACATTGTGGAACACAGAAAGGGAACTAATTGTGAAAATGGCATGTATTGCACCTGCATGACTGTTTAAACCAGCTGGGGGACCCAGAGGCCCAGTGACTTTTCTAAGGAGTTGCAGCTCATGGGCAGAACTGGAACTTAGCTGGGCACCAATTTCTCCCTCAGTATTCCTCCTGAAGCTGACAATCATAGACAGCAGACTCACAGGACTTCAGAAGCTGAAAGAGGACAGACTTTGAGGCCAGAGCTTCATATAATTGCCTTTGATGTAATCTAGGCTTGACCATCGTCCTGCTTCTGCATCCATTCAGCGTCTTTTCATGAGATTCAGCAGCTCCTGCACTTAAGAAGTTCACACTCTTGAAGTTTTTGTCATCTAGTCTATTTCTATATTATTATAACTACCAAATGTCATTTTTGTTAGTGTTTACCCATTCAATATTTTGGTGAATGTGTTGTTTCACACTTTAACTTCCAAATATCAGCATCTGTGTTTTTATCTGTGTTAAGTGCTTTGTGTTGTCGTGTGCAGCACCTGGCACATGGCAAGCTCTTCCTTTCCTCCTTTCCCTTTCTCCTTTCTTCCTCCCCCTCCTCCTCCTCTTCCTTCCCTTCCCCCTGTTTCTCTTCCTCCTCCTCCCTCCCTTAGCCTGGGGGTGGGAACAGGGCTTTTGTTCACCAATCTTTGGATGCTCCCACTACGTGGTCTTTGTGACAAAAACTCCTATATATCCTGATTTGCCCATTGCCTCGTTGGAGCAGTCCCTCTGAGCTGTCAGAGAGGGCATGTCCTGGGCTTAAGTCCTCAGTTCTTTTTGCTGAATAAAACGTAGCTCTCAACTTCTAGAGTGTGCATTTTGTTGAGCCAACAGCAGGCTGGGGGTCTGCAGGCTCTGCAGGAGGGAGGGGTGTGCATCTCCTGAGCTCTTCCACTCAGGCAGCTCAGACACCTCTGGTTCTGCCTGGTTTAAATGTGTCCTGTCAATCTGTTTATTCGTCCAGCGGATAAATGTTTCTTGAGGCAGACTTTATCATGTGTGAGAAGAATATGACCATGAATAAGACCTACATCTATTTTCAAGGAAATTGCGGTTCAGTGGAACTGCAATGGACAAGGGGGAGCCATGTGAAGTGGAAGAGACAGGAGTTAAGAGGTGTAAATGAGAAGTTACAAAGGTGAGGAGGTTTACAAGTCTTTAAAACTCTTTAGGAGGCTTCAGAGGGAAGCCAGCTTCCCAGGTGGTGCTAGCAGTAAAGAGCCCTCCTGCCAACGCAGTGAGACATGAGAGTTGCTGGGTGGGAAGATCCCCTGGAGAAGGGAATGGCAACCAACTGCAGTATTCTTGCCTGGAGAATCCCATGGACAGAGGAGCCTGGTGGGTTACATCTAGGGGGGGTCACTACGAGTCAGACACGACTGAAGAGATTTAGTACACCTGGTGACTAAGAACAAGTTTCTCAAAGTGGAGGATAAGCCAGCTCTCATGGGTCATGTTAGTATTAGAAACATGATTAATTATGGGGTTGAGCAGATAATTTAAAAACTCAAAACTACTATTCTTTGAAAGACCTGTTTGATCTCTCTGCTGTCCAAGTTCACGTGGCATTTGTGGGAAGTTACCTTCTTCTCCAAGTAGCACAGTCTCTCACCCTTGGACGGCGGCGTCTTGTCCTCCCCGGGTGGTCTGTGGTTGGTTCACTTCCTTCCTCTCCAGCCCCTTTCCAGCGCCTCACTAATTATCTTCAGTCTTCCTCATCGTCTCGTTCAGCTGGTGTTTCCCGAACCTTCCACTTACCATACTTGTGTGCTGTGGACAGCATCTGTCTCTGTTGGCCCCCTTCTAGCTCTGCAAGAACAGCTGTGTCATTGTTCCTGAGAGAGAGTAGAGAGATTAGCTTCTTTCAAGGTGCTATCTCTGATAAAGATGGGGGGTTTGCTGAGGGTGAGAACCCGATAGTCTGTCTTGACTGAGGGTGTCTGGTTACAGGGTGGTGGTGGTGATGATGGTAGTGATGCTGCCAAAAGTCAGGACTTTAGGAACCCCTTGAATGGTAGGGGGGTGTTGGGGGCACCCACAGGATGCTGAGTGGCAGATGTGCGAGCGGAGCTTATCTGGAAGCTCTCTGACTTTTAGGAAAGTCAGGGCTTAGAGGGTTGTATGAACCTCCAGCCACGTCAGCACATAATGAATTCCGCCAGACAGTGCGGGACTCTCAGGAATTTTGATGTCTGACCACTGCCTCCTTGCTTTACTTACAGGTTCAGTTTCCTCCCACGTTCACAGATCATATGTTTCATTTTACCCCCACTTCCCCCAACGCACCCATGAGCCCATGGCAGCCAGCCTGTGTCTGGAGACCACAGCAGGTCAGAAAGAGAAGGTGGTGGACTCCGGCAGATCCTCCTCTTGGGAGCAGCTGCTCAATGAGGCTGAGCTGTCTAATTTCCCTTCTGAAAAGGCTGCGAGATGCTTCAGACCTGGGCAGGAGGCTGATTTCCCTGGGTTGGCTGGGTGCATCGGAGGAGAGGAGAGAGCGGAAGGTACTATCCATCTCATGTTCCTGCCTTTAGGCAGAACTTGTGCTGAGTCACCCCAGGAAGGTCTGGGTTCTTTTCTATGTTCAAACAACAGTTTTGTGATAGGTTGTGAAAAAGGTTTTTTATTACCTAATAAAAAGAATAGATAATAAGCTAATAATAACTTTTTTTGCCTAATAATAATTTTTCCCTTAAGAAAATTATTATCAAAATTAACAAATGTTTACTGAATCTCAGTTATCATTTATCGAGTGATTATACATTCAGAACTGTGTTCAGTGCCTTATATGCAGGAACCTATTAAAACCGAGGAATGCTTGTCTGAAGTATTACTAGACTCAGTACTCAGGCAGGACACTGAGGCTCAGGTAAATGATGTCTTCAGGGTCATGCGGTCAGTACATGACAAGCCCTGACTTCTCTGAGCCTGAAATGCCTTCCTCCTTTTCATGGCATTCAGCACAAGACATAGGACATGTTTAAAAGAATAAGACACCGGCCCTATTTTCAATGCTCACATCCCATGATGAATTCTAAATTCTTCATACTTTATTTAAACCTACTGACTCTCTTTAAATCTTTGGAAAGAGGAACAGAAGAATTCTTTGTAAAATCTTAATCTTTAATAAAGACAGTCTTTCAGACACTTCTTAAGACCTTTTTGATGGTTAAAGAACCATTCTCTGATCCATCTTTCAGTAGATTGTCAATTATTGTTGTTTTATGTGTGCCTGTATTCCTACTGGTGTCCCTTATATGATGTGAAGTTCAGGTGACTTCTGTACAGAGAGTCAGCACATGTCCCAGTGGAAAAATGAGTCAGCCATTCATTTAGATCCACCCTGGTGTTGTACTGGCATTGTCTTCCCACATCCCACTCCAACCCGAAACTCTGCATCTAGGAGGTAGTAACTGTGGTCTCTTAAACATTATCCATGAGTGTCATGGGCATGTCTTGGCTTCGGCCTCTAACATGCATCCTCATTCCTTACAACTCTGCGTGGGCCTTCTTCCTCGTTGACAACAGCCCATTAGAGCCATTATACAGGGGCTCTGCTATCTTTTCACCAAGTCCAGATGTGACATAAAGGCTCATGCTGAATCCTCTCTCTTGACTTTGAATCTTAAGTGAGTAGAAAGGAACTTAAACATGCTTGTGTTCCCTCATGAGATGAGCCTGTTTCCATCATATGACCTCTCCTGCTTTCTTGCCTCTTGGACTCCTGGAGCTGATTTGGGTGGTTTTTGCATGTTTCCAACCTGAGGACCCAGTATTCTCTCCTAGAACACTCCTTACTTGGAGTTGGCTCCATGTGGGTTCCCTTGCTAGCAGCCAAAAAGCTCAACTGAGTTTCTTGTTGGTTACCACCTCTTGCTCATTCGTCTCCTTGGTAAATGTTTGTTGAGGGTCTCGTGTTTTCCAGGTACCGTGTCCTCTGGGGAAGGCGGTTCTGGCCCGGCAAAGCTGGCCGTGAGCCCTGTCAGCAGCCAGACCTGTGGTGCGTGCACCCTGAGGTGGTGTGCTTGCTGAGAACTGGGTAGCGGGTGTTTACACTGGGGCACTTCAGCCCAGGGCTGGAGGATGGATAATGAATGAGCTTGTTTTTGCACTGGTGGGTTGGATCCAATGCAGTGCCAGCAGGTGCCTTTGTCTCTCTCTCTCCCATCCATCTTTATCGGATCTGCCAGACTCGCCTGTGTGCCTTTTCTTTCTGTTTTTGCATTGAAGGCAGCTGGGGACGGGTCTGCAGGAGGGATCCTCCCAGGACATCCCGGCAGTGGGAATGTCCTCTGTGTGCGTGAGCCCTTTCCAGTGGTTGTCGTCCACCTGGCCCACCCTCTGCCTTTATCCGTTGCGTCTCCGGTGGAACAAGGGACTCGGGTGTTGTGAGGATGGTATGCAGACGTTCCCAGGACACTTCCTTCAGTATCGGGCTCCATTGACGTCTCCCTTGTCTGTATCTTCCTTCAAGTGTGCAGCAAAGAAGATACTTTAGCTGCTGTGTCACCTGAGACTCATAAGAAACACTGCTTTACAGCTATTTTTCCCTCCTCTTTCTGAGAAACCTCGCATTAGCTTCTAGACCCAACCACTGAGCTGCCTGCCTGTAGCATCTCACCCTCCACCTGGTTCCCTTTGGCTCCGGAGGTTCAACAGCTCAAGGCGGAAACCCGAGTTCACTTTACCCTTACCTGTTCTCCATCTCCTCCGTGTGATCAATGAGCAGTTTCCGCTAACCACATCCACTTAATACCCCTCATCACTATTCTTGTACCGCGTCTCATATTATTTCAGACCGTGTCATTTTGGGTCAGATTTTTGATTATAGAATTAGAAACCAAAAAAACCAAAAACAAAAACGTATGATTGCTGTGGAGTTTGTATACATTATTATTTTCTGCTTGTATTATTCCAGCAAACCCCAAACAGGAAGTCACACCTATAGTTTGGCCCAATTTCTCTCCCCTCATCCACATTTAGAGGATCTCAACCAAAACATCATTTTTTATTCCATTGTTTGAAACTTTTGGCGGATCCTCATTGTTCTCAAGGTTGGACAGACTGCTTGGCGTCTTGTGGATGAAGTTCGATCTTCAGGCCGAGCCCCCAACACTGAAAATATCTTGCCGTCTTCTCCGGACAGTGAACGTGTTAGGCTGTAGCCCTGTGCTGCCTTCTTCCCACCTACATCCTTTGCCTCACCCGGCTAAACTGCGCTGTCCGTTCACTTTAGCCTCTGGTGCCCCCTGGAGACCCGTCCCGCTCGCTGCCTTGGCCTGGGTTGTGCCTTTCCTGTGTGCTCCCATGTCACATCGTTCACAGCAGCAGGTTGGAATCACCTCCTTGCAGATGGTTTTGCACCAGATAGGAAGCTGTTTTAGGGCAGGGCCCGTGTCTCATTCCCCACCACTGTGTTCGCCACACCGACGCTGCTATATCAGGTGGGTTATTGCAAGGCCACTGGCAACATTAATTATTGTGTGCTCAGTTGCTGGTTGTATCCAACTCTTTTGTGACCCCATGGGCTGTAGCCTGCCAGGTTCTTCTCTCCATGGGATTTCCCAGCCAAGAATACTGGAGTGGGTTGTCGTTTCCTCCTCCAGGGGCTCTTCCTGACCCAGGGATCAAACTGAAATCTCCTGTGTCTCCTGCATTCCTGGCGGATTGCCTGCTGAGCCATCGGGGAAGCCCCAACATTATTATCCCCTGGATTCTCTGCTGGGCACCTTACCTGTAGTCTTCTGAAAGCACAATCAGCGTGACTTTGTAGTTTCCTGTTATGCATCTACATGCCCCACTAGGTTGCATGTTCTGCATTGGCTGGGCCAATACTGTGCCCATCCCTCTGGACCACATGGGACTTGATACAGTTCTGCACACAGTAAGCACCTGTTGTGTGCTGGTTCTCGCTGGATATTGGAGGTACTGTGATGACCAAACCTGTGTGCTGTCAGTCCTTACAGAGTTCACGACCCTGCATCAGTGCATGGATGTGTACAGCCTGAGGAAATAGCATCCTTGTCTGTAAAATGCATCATCCCTAGTTGACCCTGGCAGTCATAAGTCCCCTGTGAGGCTGGCATTCTAGAATTCTGACCTCAGTCGAGCATGCATCTGCTCATCTGAGATGGTTATGGAGTCAGAGCTGCCGGAGGCTCTTGTTCTTTCCCTGGGGCTCCTCTGGGTTGAGTCTCTCAGTTCTCATGCAGCTGAGGCTGGTTGGTGGTATAGGTGGGAGGTTGGGCCCTGTTGCTCATATGCAGTCCCTCTTACAAGACCCAAACCCTGCAACTCTGTGGTCGACCTGGGAATCCCTGGAAATCCTGGGAATTCCATGGAATGCCTGCCCTCAGCCTCACTCCACACAAAGAGCCAGGAACGAGACGGCATAGGACCTTTGTTCAGGCCAACGGGCTTGCAGCAGGTTTAGTAAGTTTTAGAAAAAGCTGAGACTCTTGCTTCTTTTCACATTTCCTCATGTGGATGCGGAGCTGGGAAGACGGAGCAGCAGCACAGTCTTCCTGGATCCCGCCAAGCGGAGATGATGACGTGGAGAAGGATGTTGGGGGGCTCTTGGCATGAGAGGGCCTTTGTGTCTTTCCAAGATCTTGGTGAAGATCTCTGGAGATGGCGGTGGGGGTGGGGGTGTCTTTCCCTCCTGTTCAGACACTCACCGTCTGTCCCCTTCTTTGTTGTGACACCAATGGCCCTGGGAGACCATAAGTGGTCACCCCCACTTCCCCTGCTCTAGAGGCCAGCAGTGTGTCCCTACCGGGGCCAACTGCGTTGCTAGCTCTGCACAGCCCCTCCTGCCTGACTGTCAGCTACTCAAAGGTACCTCCTCGGCTCCCTGAGATAACTCTCGGCCCCGCAGCGTGGCTGGGAAGCCAGGTCCTGCAGTTCCATTTAGGGAAAGAAAAGCCTTTTAACTTAATTTCTGCCTCAGAATTATTTATGTCCCCAATCAAAAAAGTGCTCTTTTACCCTTGCTGTGTCTTCTAAATGATGTCAGATGTTACAGCTGCAATGCCCAGCTGCGGGGCTCACGAGCTGCGGCTGCTTAGTGCCCTGAGAGTGATGTAAGGCTGAGCGCTGCGTGGTGCACTGGCGGGGAAAGCTCATATCCAGAGTCAAGCATCCCCAGTTCATCTGGACCCAGGGGGCCATGAGCTATGGCAGCGCCGCAGCTCTAGGACGGAGGGCTCTTTTGGTTCCTGAAGGCTGGGCCTGGAAGTTCCATTTGCCAAAGTGTCCTCCTCTGGCCTCTTTCCTGGCAGACTCTGAATGCGTGTAATGGGGATGTCTAGGGAGATCGTCTCCTTTCTGATTTGGGCTCATGCGGGGCTTTCCAGGTGGCACTAGTGGTAAAGAACTTGCCTGCCAATGCAGGAGACATAAGAGATCCCTGGGTTGGGAAGATCCCTTGGAGGAGGGCATGGCAACCCACTCCAGAATTCTTGCCCAGAGAATCCCATGGACAGAGGAGCCTGGCGGGCTAGAGTCCATAGAGTTCCAAACAGGACATGACTGAAGTGACTTAGCATGCACACCCAGGGCCTTTGTGCTCAGGTGTGTGATCTCTGATGGTTGTGGGCCAGATTTAATGCTGCTCTCCCACGCCTTACTACCCAAGGTCTCCCCAACCTGACCTGACTGCTGGAGGGTGAAGAAGAGCTGGGCCCCACAGATTGTAACCTTCTCATCCATGTGATGGAGGAAAGAAGAGCTCGTCTTTATGAGTTTCAATAAGTGTCCTAGTAAGTTGAGTGCTGGAACAGAGCACCATAGACTGGGTGGCTTATAAACAACAGGGCTTTATATTTCTTGGTTCTGGAGGCAGGAAATCCAAGATCAGGGTCCAGCAGATTCAGTATTTGTAAGGACCTGCTTCCTGGCTCATAGCCATCTTCTCACTGTGTCCTTACAAGGAGTAAAGGGTCAGGGAATTCTTGGGTTCTCTTTCATGGGGGCACTAATCCCTCTCATGACCTGGTCACCTCCCAGAGGCCCCATATCCAAACACCATGCATTGGGAAACGTGAGTTTTGGGGAGACACAAACATCAACCCATAACAACACATCAGGGTAGCAGCCCATGGCCTGTAGCTAACACCCGTCAACATGTAAAGTCTGGAGTCAGGCAGTTCTGGGTTTCCAGGTGCTTCAGAGTAATAGATTGGGTTGTAGTACACCAGTGCTGTCTCTGAGAACAAGTAAAAATGTCAAAGTAAAAAACATCTATTTGAAGACATTGGAAATACACCAAGGCATCTAGGACTGAAGGTCCTAAATACCCCCAAACAGGAAACCTCTGGGATTTGACTCAATATGCAACAGCTCTTTTTCCCTCGAGTCACACAATTATTCCCCAATTCTGGGTTTAAAACAAGAGGCTGAGGATTCAGATGCGGATCTTGGGCAAAGGACCACTGTTAAGATGCACAGAACCTAGAAGAGGCTTTGGCAAGTCTTCTGGGGCTGGAGGGACAACAAATTAGACATTTGAAGGACTTAGCCAGGTTTTGCTCAAGACATTTTGCCAAAGTCTCAGATTTCAGGAGACCATGAAACCTTAGCGTAGAGCCTTTGAAAACAGAACACAGCTTTTGATCATCTTATAAGATAAAGGAGATGAGAATTAAAGTCGAGGTTGGACCAGCGTCACTAGGACCTGGGTGAGATCCCAGGCTCTCCACGGGGGCCCCTACAAAGCAACCAGAGGTGGGTAAAGCCTGAACAAATCTGGAACCTCCCCTTAAGAGGATGTGTTAGGGTCCAGGTCTGCCTTCTGCCTGAACAGAGGAAAGGGTGAACCCTCTCAGGAAGAGCATGATATTATTTAGAGCTGCTGTAATTTATTACTGGTGGTGTCACACTCAGTAAAGTATTGTCAAGCATGCCAAGAAACAGGGCTGAAAGCCAAGAGGAAAAAAAATCCAACAACAGATGATAGGAGATTCCGATATCCAAGTTACCTCTAGGTCTTTTTCAGACAAGGACTCTAAAAAAATCACTAAAATATTCAGAAAAATAGAGGAAAAGAGGGAAAAAAATAAAATTTCAATAGAGAACTTGGAATTTAATTTTAAGCAATCAAATGTTAAGGTGACTACTATTCAAATCTATACATGTGAAAGCATTTCACGGAAACACACAATCTGAATAATTTCTTTATTTATAGTTAATAGTCTTGTAGCAGTATCATTGTCTATCTGGTTTTGATCATGTATTAGGTAATGTAAGATATTATTATTGGCATATGGGAACTCTGTATAATTCTTGCAACTTTTTGTGAATCTCATACTATTTTAAAATGAGAATCTATAATATAAATAATAACTTAAACAATCAAATGTGAATTCTAGAACTAAGAAGTACAGTTGCTAAAGCTAAGAATTCAGTAGGTAAGTTTAACATTAGATTTAAGCAGGAGAAGGATACATGTCATTAGAAAATATCCAGACTGAACCACAGAGGGGGAAAATTGTGAAAATACAAAAAAGAGGTTAAGGTATATGTATGTTGGATATACATATCTAAATATGAATTTGAGATAATGTAGTTGTAGTTCCAGACATGGAGGAGGATTAGAGTGGGTTAGAAAAACATTTCAACGTTTGATGATTTTTCCAAACTAGTAAAAGTCAGCAAACCACAAATTCAAGAATCTCTGTGAACCCAAGCCGGATAAATATAAAGAAATCTAGGCTTAACACAGTAAGTTTGTAGAAAATCAAAGACAAGATGAAAATCTTAAGTGCAAAAGGAAAAATGCACCTTACTTTTAAAGAAGACAAACATCTGACTTTATAATAGAAAGCAGGGGAGACAGGCAACAATAGAACATCATTAATATTGTGAAATAACAAGCCAACCCCCAGATAACCCTTTCAACCTAGAATGATGTATCTAGCAAAATTATTCTTCAAAAATTAACTGAAAACATTAACAGACTGGGAGAATTTGTGGCCAGCAAAATTTCATTTAAAAAATTACTAAAAGGAGTTCTTTACCCAGATGAGAAATAATCTCAGATATATGAAAGCAAATAAAAGAATAAAGAACAATAATATAAAAACATTAATGTGTGGATAAACATAAATATTACCTGTTCAAGACAATAATGATAATGTTCTGCCTTGTGGGGTTTAGAATAAATGTAGAATTAAAATACATGTCAATTAAAACAGAATTTGGGAAGGGGGATAGTAGATTTAAATAGATTTAAGATATTCTAGGCTTCGAGCATTGAAGGAAAGTGCTAGAGCTAGTACTTTCCATCACAATGTCCTTAAAGATGCGTTTTGTAATCTCTAGGATAACTTCCCAAAGAAGGATAACTAATAAGGTAATAGAGTGGGAAGGGGAAATAATAATAATAATAAAATTAACCGAATAATCAAATATTAGTTAAAAAGAAAAAGACAAGAAAAGGGAGAAAAGAACGTAAACAGATGTGACAAAGAGAAATATATAATAATCTATGAGACCCTACTGTATAGCACAGGGAACTATATTTAATAACTTGTAATAACTTATAATGGAAAAAATCTGAAAAAATATAATAATACTTTGCTGAACTGAAACTGGCACAATATTGTAAATCAACTATACTTCAAAAAGAGAGACATAAATCTAGTAGATAGTAATTACATCTTTCAGCAGTTACATTCAGTATTAATGCACTAAATATTTCAAGTGAAATACTAAAATTGCCAGACTGGATATATGCTACTATACTCAAATATAAGATCACAGAAAGTTTGAAAATAAACAAATATAAAAAAGAACATAAAAAAAGAAAGAAGAGTTGGAGAAATTGGAAAACATATACTAAATGAAATGGGATTCCTTCTCAAGCCTTTATCAAGCATAATAGTCAATGTATGACAAAAACCACTGCAATGATGTAAAGTAATTAGCCTCCAACTAATAAAAATAAATGGAAAAAAAAAGAAAAAAAAAGCTTTTGTATATGTATATATATAAATAGTATGTACCATATATATATATTATAAAACTTAAGAATTTTTGCCTAATTAAAAAATTTATGATGTTTTTATTCCACTTGTTTGACTTAGTATGAACAGAATGCTAGATTTTCTAATTTTAAAAAATATAGATATGCAACAGCAACAAAGGCTTACTGTATAGCACAGGGAACTATAGTCTATATCTTGTAATAACCTATGATAGAAAATAATATCAAAAATAATATATATGTGTATATGTATAACTGAATCACCTTGCTGTGTACCTGAAAAATTGTAAGTCAACTATGCTTCAATAAAATGTATATATTAAGAAAAAAAAGAATGTATAAAGGTGAAACATTTGAAGAGTATTAAAATAGTTATTGGCTTATATGTTACACTCAGTAGATAGTTGTTGGTTAGATATGTGTTATTGTTCAAATACTGATGGTAGTGAATAACCCCAAATCTCTGATATGGGTTTATGAAAAAGCATGTTTGAATTTAAAATTCATGTTTGGTGACTGTGTTGGTGGTCAGAGATGAACACCACTAAGATAAGAATCTTAATGGTGATATTCCATCAAGTTCATAATGAAAGCAAGTCTTTTTTGATATTCATATTACTGTACTGTCTACCTTTGCAGCTGTCTCTGTGTTGAGCTAAGCTTCTTCAGTCATGTCTGGCTCTGTGCAACCCCATGGATTGTAGCCCGCCAGGCTCCTCTGTCCACGGGATTCTCCAGGCAAGAATGCTGGAGTGGGTTGCCATGACCTTCTTCAGGGAATCTTCCCAACCCAGGGATCGAACCCATGTCTCTTATGTCTCCTGCATCGGCAGGCAGGTTCTTTACCACTAGCGCCACCTGGGAAGCCCACATTCAGCTGTTAAAGCAATTCATTTATTTCTTTAGTATCATTTCTGGTCCATCTGCTGTTTCTGCTTGATTACAAGCTCTGAAAGTTAAGAATAGGTTCAAAATGACTTCCAGGAGCCCTCAACTGCTAGTCTAGGACCTATGTCCATGGGTTTTGGTGAGGATGGTCCATAGAGAGTCAGGATGAATGAGGTACCTCTGAAGAAGTGACTGGGTACAGAAGACAGCCTGG